ACACTGAAGTTCCTGCTAAAGCCTGAGTTGACTGATAAATCAATGTGATGATCAGTTATAAATCTCAGCAATCCTGAACTCTTTTTAAGGATGATCGAACTTAACAGTCTCCTCAGTAGTGGACATTTTTGTGGGTGTTGCATCAGTATTGTCCTGTAATGCTCGGGGGATTGTAGGAGCAGCAGTGGACTGAAGCAGGTAGTGAGAGAGGAGAAAATCTGAGAATTTTTTAAACTTAATTTAAATGATCAGCGATTTTTTTGTGAAATATATTAACAGAATAATTACATAAAGAAAGATGTGTTATAAATGTACCAAAATGTATTCTAAATGTATTCTGGATATGTATTTACCAAGATGTATTATAAAATGTATTATAAATGTATCAAGTATTGTCACAGAATACATTACTGAATACATTTAGTACAGTGTATTCAGTATTCAGTCATCACTACTTTTTCAAAGTATTTTGCCCAATGCATAAGTATGTGTGTATATTTATGTGATATAATAGGGTTCTGCTATTGTTACAAGTCATAAATCCATTTTTTGGTATATTCTACACCCTTAGCAAAGAATTCTATGTGGTACCGACAGAAAGGTTCATTGACAGTAGTGGAACCCTTTTTGGTTCTATATAGAACTCTTTTTATGGGTTAAAAGAACCATATGCAATAAGTTATCCATCATAGAGAAGAACCATTTAGCTGTACCCATTAAGTCCCATTTAAATATTCAAAGGGTTTTTTGTGATGTCATGGTTCTGTATATAACCCTTCCAAAACAACCCTTGAAAAAACTTTTTTTAATGTAAGGGTGGTACTATCCAGTTTGAAGCTAACATTAGTAGTAATGTTTATGTACTATTATTGTTCTTTTTTGTTTATTATGTTCTCTGAGGCTATTTATGAGCCTTATTAATATGTAATTGAGAAAAGAACATGTTTACAGTTTAAGATCTACTTAAACAATACTTAACACTAATAAAACTGTACAATGCTTATTAATTTCTCTTTAAAATCACATATGTATTGTTTATTTTGCAGAAGGCAGTTTTTCATGGTTTCAGTCACTGGCTCTGATTGTTGTATACTCATTTTGCTGGTTTATTAATGACTGTTTTTCATCCTGAGTGCTTAATGCCTTTTTCATTATAGCTCATAGTGCTTGTTGTTGTCAGGAAATATCCAGTACAAAAGAACGTATTTAGTGTTGTGGCTTTGAAAAATTAAACAGCTCCTCAGTGTCTCAAGTTCTAGACTTTATGGCTCTCCTTGTTTTGAGATTCTGTCTCTCGGCACTTGCATTTCTGCCCACTGTGAATAGTGCTATGTTAAACACTCAAAACAATTGAAAGCCTGATAACAATTTCCTGTGCATTCCACACAATTTTGTGGATGACTCATAAAGGCTTTTATAGTTCCAAGCTTTTCATTTAAGCAGAACAAGAACAAAACAGCTGAAATTAACTTTCAGATTTGGAATCCTCATTTGGTGCTTGGACCCCTTGATCATGTTCTGAAGCTTCCTCTCTGTTCAAATAGAAAACCAACAGCAGCGAACCAGAAGTCCAACCCGTCCAAAAGACATCGGGATCGACTGAATGCAGAGCTGGACCGGCTGGCCAGCCTGCTGCCGTTCACTCCGGACGTCATCTCCAAGCTGGACAAGCTTTCAGTGCTGCGTCTCAGTGTCAGCTACCTCCGCGTCAAGAGCTTCTTCCAAGGTAAGACCAATGGCTCATTTTATCATTTAGATGGCGTAGTAAATGTTTTTTAACTGAGTTAAAGGGGAAATCTGCTGCTTGTTTTCAAAATTTTTGTATGAGTATAATGTTGAGATGTAAACAAAGCCATTCCAAGTGGTTTGATGTGAAATGATGCATTGTAGAGAAACGTACCGACTCGCTCACCAATGGTGATAATAGGAACCAGGGGTCACGATGTCTACAGTGCAGATATAGCCATTTTGTTTACAATCCAAAATAACTAGAGATCCTGCATGTGTCTTTTGAGATTGTATATGTAATGTTGATGATGTTGATAAAATAGTGGTAAATCTGAAAAAGTATGTTTCCTCAGGGACTATTTTGCCTTACAACACCCTGCATTTACCCGTCCGCCATGAATGTATTTTAAAAATATGTTTCAAGCCATAACCTTCGTAAACCAATGTCTTAAGCATATTTGTAACTATTCCATTAAATAGCTTTCTGTGATGTAGCTTCTGTATGCATTAAAGGCTTTAGCCATCTGGTTCCTATCATCACCACTCGCTTAGTTTCTCTGGAACGGAGCGTTTCACATCAGATCACTCCGAATGATTTTGTATACATAGTAACCATTTATTATTGCTAAAATTTTGACAAAAATCAGTGGAATTCAGTCTTTGTTTACTGATAAAATGACACTAGTTTGTAAATCATTTTACAGGCTTCTTGCTAAATACACTGTAGAATTTCTGGAAAATTACAGACCTTTTTAAAGACAAGACATGTTTCAAGGACTTATCACCTGGCGTTAGTCTCATATTAGCAATATCAAACGTCTCTTGTGTCGAAATGCCTGTGAATATATATCTGTGTTTGTGTATTTAGCTCTTTATGGAGACCAAATGTCATCAGAATGATGAAAGCATGAATGTTTTGCCGTAATGGGGACATTTGGCTGTTTACCATGAGGGAAAAAATCCTTTTTTTTAAATTTGCAACAATTATTAGAGAAAGTTAAAGGGCCCAAAGCTGATCTTTTGGTTGCTGAAATCAAGGTTTACACACACTCATACAGAAGAAAAACCCACAAAGAGAGGAATACAAACACTTGTGTCTGTGATGTAGTGAATAAATGAATGAGTGAGAATGAAAAGAGTGCATGAGTGAGTTACTATGAAATACATCATTTATATGTACGAAGAGCCGTCACAATCATGACGTTTTAGATGATCAAATGCTGTATGAATGATGTTAATATTTAATTTAGGGATGCACCAATATCATCCGATATCATCGTGCATCCCTAAATATGCTCAGGTCTAAATATGCTTTGATGCTTTGTTTTTGCTGTTTTCATCTGTATAATTAAATCTACAGATGCTGAGCACTAACCATTCAGAAACACATAAAACTTTTGTGAATTGTATGAAGATGAACAGATTTAACCCATATGTTTCTGTGTTCATATGCACTTCAGTGCATATTCCTAGATGCAGATGCCCTGCTCTTCTGGTCATTTTCTGCGGAGTGATTTATTTCTGTAAGCGCTGTAACAGGTGGATCAGAGGGTGGCAGTATACTTTTCTTTCTTTCCTTCCTTCTTTCTTCTTTGGTACTCTCTCTCTTTCTTCCTCTTTACCCTCTCTTACCCTCTCCCTTTCTTTCTCTCCTTCTTTTTCTCTATCTTTCTTTTGTCTTTCTCTCTGCCTCCCTCTCTTTCGTACTTTCTTTTTGCTTCCCTCTCTCTCTTGCTCTTCTTGCTCCATCTCCTTCTCTTGTGTAATCTTTGTCTCTCTCTAATTCTCTTCCTCTCTCCCTCTCTTTCTCTGTCTTTCTTTCTCTCTCTCTCTCTCTCTCTCTCTCTCTCTCTCTCTCTCTCTGTGTATATCTCTCACTGCCCCTTACTCTCTTTCTTTCCCCCTCTACCGCTCTCTCTAACCTGTGTTTTTCTCTTTCTCTCCTCTTTCTCTCTAGTAAACAGAGTGTGGTATGAGGTCTGTATATTGAGTGCTGTTTTGAAACTCTGCCATAAGTAGCTCTGTGAGTCAGCAGGTGGATTCAGCTCAGAAAAATGTTCTTTTGTTTTAATATCATAATGAGACTCTATTGGATCCTTGAGTGTGTGGTTTTGTGTGTATATGTTTGTGTTGGAGGAGATTAAAATAGTGAGTGGTAAGTGAGGCTGGATGTGCGTATATGCATGCTGGTGTGTTCGTGGATGCACTTATTTGTGTGTTTGGCAGGTTTTCACCCATGTATTTTCCTATTCTGACAGCCTGTGAGCATTTTGGATAATGAAAGTCGTAAATGTCAGAAGCGCCTTGATATCGTCATTTATATTACACATGACCCTGGCCATGCTGATATTAAAAATCATGAATAATGGGCCTGTGATAGCCTTGATCTTTTGCCTTATGGATGATTGGTTGCCGTCTTATGTTTGAACATCTCAACTAGACTCCACTTTTCTAGCAAATTTGTCTTCCCATGGTCAGCTGTGTTTCCAGATTTCTCTTCCTCATTTCCACTCACCTTGATCCAGACACTAAAACATGGTCAGGTGGACTGAAAATATATTTAAAAAATTCAGCTACTCATAAGTATAGCAAATACTGTGCCATTATAAAAAGACCTGACAAGGTATAAGACAGTGGCATAGCGGTGTAACATCCAATTAGGTCCTTGTTACTATGCAGATGTAGCCTCTTTCTTTAGGCTATCTAGTGGAGATTCTGGCACATATTTGTAATTAATATAATCAAAAAAATATTTTTCCATGTAACTCTGTTATCAGATTAACTAGGGTGCTTTTGGCTGTCTGCGTGAAATGAGTTTTGTTGAGTCCTAGCGAGCAATGAGGACTGAAGGGGGAGTGAGAACCTCCTGCTGTGAAAAAAACTTACAACTTACTTATCTCTCCACAAAGATGGCTGTGCTGAGATAAAACCAACAATACAACTACAGTTTTGATAAACATGCCATGATAAAAAAATAGCATTTTGACACATTAAAAAACTTGTAAATGTTGACATATTCAGTTAGCATTTATTTGGTACTGTGACACTACTGGTTGTATCCAAGTCTCTATTTTTTTAAGAAGCATGCAGTTGACCACTGTTATAGAAATACAAATCAACTCTGATGTGCTCAGCAAAGTGTATTGTGATGTAATTTATCACATTACTGTATCGTCATATTGCCCAACCCCACCTGAAAATGTAATGTGGTACAGCAGGCAAAGATCCATTGTTAACACACACACACGCGCGTGTATATATATATATATATATATATATATATATATATATATACACACACATCTAGGGTTTCTAGAATATCTAGAATTTCTGCATGTTGCTCTCATACCATACAGCTTTTTCAAACCTGAGAAACAGAGAAACGAACAGGTGTTGCACTGCTAATCTAGACACAGTGCAGTGCACTGAAACAGATTTTTAGAGGATATTTCTTTATGAATCTTCTCAGTTCATGAACGCAGTATAGCCATCATATCCCTACGTTTTTTACAACTTTACAACTTTACAACAGATTGTCTTTTGCCCTGACTTTTTTTTTTTACTTGATGAATGAGGGTCGATATTTCAAACAATAACTAATGTGTCCATTGTTTCTCGCAACATGTGACCAAATTGGGGTTAAAGGTTTTTTAGAACATGGCGGCCATTTTTCTCCAAAGGCTGAATGCGTTTTTGCTTCCGTGTTGGTAATTGTCCATTTTTCCCCCAATGTTCTGGGCCAGCGCCTGTTTCTCTGTCTCTAATGAATGGTCTTGCTTGAGTAATTGTGTAGATTGGCCATGCATGACAAAGGCCGTAAGTGAATGACCCCAAACCGTGCCTGGTCTAGACGCGCAATGTTTGTGTGCACTGCCACGGTGCTGAGAACACAGCGGGATGCTCTGTGAAACCCTTTGTTGGCACAACACCATAGTTGGGTGCTCGTCCCATGCAATTACGATCAAACCTCGAATGTCGCACCGCAAGGCAAATTCTTTCGTCCCTCTCTGTGCGTTTCTGGAACCCTGAGTAGAGAAGAATTCAGCTGAAATATTAATATTAAGAGTCTGTGTCATAAAGGTCACGGTTGCATAAATAGTTAATAAACTATAGTTTATTATATAGTTTTGCTAGTATTGAGAAAATAAATCAGAAAAACAAAAGTCTATTGTTGATCACTCACACCCCTGTGTTCTTGCATTTTGACCTACTTCATATTTCCCTTAATGGAATAGTTTGGCAACAAAATCTAACTAACACATCCTTCTAAAACCAGGACATGTTTGCTGTCTGTTTTTTCTTTAGTTTTGCACTGGAGCTATGAGGCTAACGTAGCTAACAGCTAATGGAAGCTTATAATCTCGTCAATTATTGTTGCGCAAACTGCATACCGAAATCATCACACATTTGACTCAGACAGCCTCATGTAATCTAAAACGGACTTATTTATGTGGTTTCTTATATAAATTGGCCTTTTGCCTGGGTTCAGCATGATTTTTTTCATGCACAGCATCGAGCTTGGGCTTCTTTAATAATGAGTTTTTATAATTCATTATAAAATAATGAATTTTTATGTAGTAGATTTGTTTCTAATTTGGTGGAATATGCTTTCGTAAGGATAATCGTTGTTACAAAATGTTTTTCCGTATGTTGCATGCAGTTACACTTTAAAAATTAAAATGAGTCATGATCGCCTTCAGTGTGGAAACTTTATGACCCTGTTGTTAGATCAGATAAAAAGCACGCTGGTCACGCACAGTGTGGAGCTCATGGTAGTATTTTGAACTATTATAGCAGGAGGACTGGCACATTGACTCTAAAGCAACACATTTACTGCTGATGCAGCCGTTCCGCATTAGATATTCGCCAGAAGCAAATTTCAGAATACTTCTTTGCACCAGTTAAATCAGTGTCAGCTACAGCAAAAACTTGGCTAGATAGGTTTATAGTTTGAGTTGAGTTTTTCTTAGTTATTTGTCAGTAAATTAGGTACAATTA